TGCAATACGTATAAAAATATTTTAGGTTTGACAATTTTGGCAACTTCATAGAGGTAATTTTTTCACCTCTGACTTGAAAATTTCTCTTTAAACATGCAACATATAATTATGCCCCCCTTCGAAGAAGAGTGGGTATATTGTTTTGCTAATGTCTGTCTGTCTGTCTGTCGGTAGACCACATAGTTTCCGCTGATTTTCTTGAAAAGTATTCATCACAAAGTCTTCATATTTCACATAGTGATTGGTCATAAACAACAGATGATCTGTATTGCTTTTGGGGTCACTAGATCAAAGGTCAAGGTCACAAGGTCAATCAAATGTCAGAATGGTTTCTGCTTATTATCTTGAAAACTATTTATCACAAATTTTTCATATTTCTAATATTGATTTGTCATAACTATTAGATAACCCCTATTGGTTTTGGGTCACTAGTTCAAAGGTCAGGGTCACAGGGGCCTTAAATTCCTCATTATCTTGAAAACTATTTATCACAAAGTCTTTATTATTTTTCTTTTTTCCATAATTGAACACTTCCATGTTTTTTTTTCATGGCAAGTTTCTATAACAAAATTTCCAATAATGTGGGCTAGAAAGGGGGCATATGTGCCGTTTGACATTTCTTGTTTTTTAGTTGAGTTTTTTTCTTCCTTTTTCATGGCTTTAATGTTAAATAAAAAAATATTTTAGGGTTGACATTTTTGGCAACTTCATAGAGGTAAGTTTTTCACCTCTATGACTTCAAAATTTCTCATACAATTTTTGAGTTGAACTTTTTCTTTTTATGTGGCTAATATATAACTTGCTGAATTTTTTTTCTGCAATACATATAAAAATAATAGGTTTGAAATTTTTGGAAATTTCATGGAGATCATTTTTTATCTCTATGACTTCAAAATTTCACATTCAATTTTTGAGATGAACTTTTTCTTTTTATGTGGCTTATATATAACTTGCTGCATTTTTTTATATCTGAAATACATATAAAAATATTTTAGGTTTGACATTTTTGGCAACTTCATAGAGATAATTTTTTCACCTCTATGACTTCAAAATTTCTCTTTAAACATGCAACATAAAATTACCTAATTAAATTTTCACTTGTTTGGTTTCAAAATTGTCTTATGGCATACCTAGTGACATGTAATTTTGACTTCAATGACATAATTGGATACAAAAGTCAAGAGTCTGGCTAATACTCTATGGATAAATTGCATAGGGGTAAATTTTCAACACTTTATGATCCCCCGTCCCCTGACAGGTGAGGATTATAGGAATGTCTGTCTGTCTATAAGTTCATCTGTTTATGTGAATGTCTCTCCATAACATTTTTCATGATCACTCCATATCTCCTATACCCTTTGTGGTGAATGAAACTCTGTCAAATGTTAACTTGAAATAATGTGCAGAATAAAATCTGCAACTGTGTTTACTGAAGGTATAGGTCACACTTTCAGGTCAGATATTCATGTTTTTATTTTTTATAGTCCCTTAAGAATCCCTGTTCTGCCCCTTAAAAGATTTGAAAATTAAATATGGTCAAAAATTCACCCCATTATAGAATTTGTATGGAGCTGCTGTATCAGTTCAAGCCCAGTGTTACCCTGCTAAAAATTTGCTTTTCCCTATACCAAGATGATACTTGATAGACAGCATAAAAATTCAACTATACCAGCTTAAATTTGTGTATCAATCCTTATCAGACAAAAGAATGCACCACAATGGATATAACTTGGAATAAAACAGTAGTCGGTTAACAGAAAGTTAACATGTATGGCGCCCGAATACATGGATTCAGGAAAGGTGGCAAAAGATCAAGATGGGCATTTTTCCAGCAATGGTGGAGAGGTTCTCCCATCATTAGCAAAATTGGAATGTGCCAGGCCAAGAAAGGCTTTGATTGTCTTTACAACACCAGTAATCATGTGTTGTGAATGGTGACTCGGCCATGATTGTAAGTTATGTCCATTACTGTGAATTCTAACGTTTGTCATATCATATAAATGAAAAAACAAGTTTGATTTTGTTAGAAGAACTTAATGTATCCAATTTATGTAAACTTTAAATTTTTATGTCCTATTAAATATTACTGTTAAATATCTTATTTCTTAAAGTAAAAGAAGAACATACAAAATAAAGAAGTTCTGCAGTTTTGTTTTTATTTGTATTAGAAACAGTAGCATTGAAACATAAAGCTTATTTATTTATTGTTCATCTTTTGGAAGAAAGGTAGCATTAAAAGACCTTTTTAATAATATTATTTAGTAACTTTAAAAAACGATAGCATAAAAATATAAAGCAACATTATTAATACAATTGCTCAAAAACTTGCAGCTTTTTTTTCAAACAATACTTAAAAAAGTTATAAGCAACAATTTATTTCTTATTTCTAATGAATAAAACAATAGCATTAAAATACAAAATGTATGCAGCTATTTGATTTGTTTGTTATCTTTTGAAACAATGGTAGCATTAGAATTCACAGCAAGTATAATTTTTCAAATCCTAAATTATTATTAGCTTGAAAAAGGGTAGTGCATACCCAAAACTAGTAGGTTTTTAATATTTTTTTTTAGCTTGTTCCAATGTTGTCATGTGTTCCTCTCATATTACTTACCATAGTAAATAAATAATTATTGTTAAAATGATATGTGCCAAATTATGTATTGCATATATTTGAGTTTCCATCTAATATTTTTACCTTTCATCAAATGTGTAGTTTCAAACAAACATAATTACTAAGGTTATACATACCCTCATTAAAAAGATTTTCATTTTTGGGTTAAATATTTATTTCATTCATTTCTGATCGTTTCACATTTTTTCAAATTACAGAGTGCTTTAAGTTTTAGTTGATGTTGACCATAGCTATGTTGTATATTTTAAGGTTTTGTTGGTGCTTAAATAAACAAAAAACATTTTAATTTAGAATTGTCATACAAGTGGGAACATACAATTTATGTATGCATAAAGATTTTAGTCTCTTGCAGTTAAATTATAATGCAAAATTTTAGCTAAGATGATGTCACAGGCTGTAACTTCAGTTAATAAAGAATATCTACAAAAACAAAGGATTTGAACTGTGATTTTGAATCATAAAATTCTCAGCCAGTAGATATATTTTTACCAAAATTAAAATCATACTTTATTAGTAATCAAATACTATCTAAATGGAAATCAGATTAGGACAAGGCCGGATCCAACAAACTTCATCATATCAACCCCTGTCTTCACCAAAATCATTGTGATCATGTAGTTCTTAATTGATATTGAATTGGAGAATATTTCAATGTTTAACATTTCCTTCTCCATTGCTTTGATCTTGCATAGGTTTGTGATATACTGTGAAATCATCATTATTCGTGGGGCACGAATTTTCGTGGTTTTCGTGGATAGGTCAATCCACGAATTTTAGACCCGACGAAATTTTATCCCAAAAAACGCTTTTTACCATGTCTCTGTTCCATATGTCTCAACATGCGTCTGCGCTTTTCCGGCCGATATTTGTGGTATGAATGTATATTCTAATCAGGTCAGTGACAAATTAAATCCATAAATAGTTTAATTTTGCAATATTTAAGAAACTTGAAAGAAAAATCGATTGTATGTCTTCAGTTTGCTGTCACAAATGTTCTTCGCATGTAAACATCAGGGGACTACTTGATCGTTGTAGGCTACTTGATTGTGTTAGCCAGAATACGTGACATAATCGAGTAAATATGGGAACCAAGTGCATTAATTATCCCCGATAAAACTTTTAACGACTAGTGTTTATATGATCCATTTAAATATATTTTTTCAATATGTTTTAGTGTGTCACCTTGCTATTCCGAAAATATCAAAAGAAGCCGTCCGTCTTTACACTAGATGCACACATACATGTATGTAACTGTATTGAGCCATTTACTGGTATTAATTTATATGCATATAAATTTACACAGTCGATGTGCTGTTAGTGTGTGTTAGTTTTGGACTAATTCGGGGTGTTAACTTTTTTTACTGCTGCGTTAAAAATTGGCAGATGTCGTATAAATTTATGTGATGTTTACATTGGCGAATTATAGGGGCATATAATGGAGCTGCATATCATGTCACACAAAGGTGTTAATTGCAGTCAATTATCGGCAGTAATTGTGTTACTGCCAGAGGCCAGGATTAAATTTGTTGACAAGAGCTGTGTTATATACACTGGGTAAGTAAAACAGCGCAGTGATTAAGTGAAAGATTACTTTCCATTACTTATTTTTTTTTTTACAAGAAAATGAAAATCCACGAATTTAAGAACCCACGAAAATGCCTGTTTTGATAAAACCACGAAATTTCATGCCCACGAATACAAATGATTTCACAGTATTCTATAAGAGAACATTTTGCTTCTGTTCTGTCAAAAATCCTTCTTGAAGATATAAACTTGTATTTAACTGACTCATTTTGATAAACTTGTCTGCTAGAAATATGACTAACTTTAAGCTTAATATAATATACATACATGTATATTGATTGGCATGATATTACCAATAATACCAAACAATCCAACATTTTTTTTACAAATTTGTAAGACTTTATTCTCTAAAAATTGATATACTTGAAAACTTGGAGATCTATGACAGTTTGTCAAATAACCATGGAATGAAAATGCCCTGCATTTAAGTAGTTGAAATGTACAGCTTCTGTTCTCTTGGTCTATATTTCAAGCTGGATATTTATAATTTTACTTACTTACTTACTAGCGTTCGCAATTACACGACTATGCCAGTATCTACGATGAAGGATGTGGTCCGTCTCAGGTCCTCAACATCACCATAAAGCATCTGTTGGAGGATTGTTTCCTGAGGCCATGTCGCAGCTCGCTCCTTGTCGTGTCGCTTACATCTTTGGAGGACATGCTCTGTAGTTTGGTCTTCTTCTCCGCACGGACACATTGGGGATTGAACGAGTCGGTACTTTTTGTTCATGTGTGCGTAAAGTCTGTTATGTCCTGAACGTAGTCTCACCATCATCATTTATTCTGGCCGGTTCAAAGAGTGATATGCATCAGGCTCTTGTCTTGGCTCTGTTATTGCTTTGATGATAGTGACTTTCTCCTTGTATGAGACTTGGACATCTGGTTGCTTTGACTGTGCTCCAGATTTAACCAATTGGTCAGTTTCTTCATTCCCAGTCATTCCACAGTGTGCTGGTATCCATTGTATGGCTACGCTGCAAATGGTGCTTAGGTCACTCATTGCTCTGGCTAGGTCTGGTGATTTGTTGTCGATCAGGGCTTCCAGGACTGATCGTGCGTCGGTGAGAAAGACAACTGAAGAGACAGCTTCTGTAGAGTCTATGATCATGGAGACTGCCTTCATGCGTGCTTCAGTCTCTGCTCTTAAGTTGCTGCAGTGCTTTCCAGTGACCATATGGCGTGTAACTTGATGGCCTGATGGGTGTATAATGAGAAATACCAACCCCTCCATCTTTTGATTGCTCTTGTGGCTGACCCATCTGTGCAGACATGGGTCCACTTGTCATTTAGGGTTGTCTTCGTTGATCATGGCAAGCGTAAGACTCTTTTTGATACTCTCACATTCTTGTTTACCACTTTCAAGCTGAGGGATGTCGAGTTTCACTTTAATGCCAGACAGGTCATTTGTCAACGGGTCTAGTATGTTTTATTCTGCTCAAAGGAGTGGAAGGTATTGTTAGCTCTGGTGCAAACTTTCTGTCCAGTTTCTTGGCTTCAGTGACAAAGCTGGTTTTGCTTGAGCCTGTTCTTTGTATATCCTGCCAGTCTGCTTTTCATGGGGCTATCAGGGATACACTTGAACTTCTCTGCCTGAAGGAGAATCTTGGCCTGCCTTCTTTCCTGTAGGGGTTGTATACCTATTTATACACTAATTCTCATGTGAATTGTGAAATTGATGTCGCTGCACACTGTGGACATACTCTTTGCAGAAAAACTTGCTATTTTATAGCTAACGTGCAAAAAGTATAATAGAGAAATTTTTGATACACAGAATACATTGATACAAAATGTTACAAAGGAAGCTATTGGAAATGTAACTTTCGAGACTGTCTCCATTTTGGATTTTTGGTGTTTGAGTTAGTGTAACCAAAAAAAAATAAAAAAATAATACAATTTGGGCAAAAAATAATTTGTGCAGGTGTATGTATATCTGTTTTCGAAGCATGACCAACTTAAAAAGACTGATGTGTCATGTGTTAAATGTTTTAGAACTGTCACCGAAATTTACCGGCATCAGTAATGTACGCGACTTGTAAATTAAGTGTCGACTTAACTGAAAATAACTTAGTGATATAAGTCATTTATATGTTTATTTACATTAAATTACAATGAAATATTTATGCTACTATAGCCAGACTTATCTTTCTTATGAAAAATTCTAAGAATTTATCTATTACTTTGACAGCCTGTGCCAGATACCTAAGCATGTAATGTTCGCTACTAAAAATTCAGTACATTCTATGCACTTTTTCCCAATTAAGGAATTTTTAATAAATGATTTACATTTGGAGGGATATATAATAACCAACTCTGAAAGAATTGTGTCCACATATCTTTAAATAAATCTATATACATACATGTCAGTAATGTACCCGTTTGTAATGTTCAATATGATAAAAAATGTAACATGGCTTTAGTATACTTAATTTTCAATTACACAAACAAGTTGAACAAGTCATTTTTGTATAGATGTAGCATAAATATATACATCCTTTGTATTTTACAGTAATAATCAGATTTTCTTAATTTTGTATAAGTACAGTTTTAGAATCTAGAGTTACTGAATAACTACAAAAACAAAGATGAAATATGTTTAATATTAATTTTCTTCTAAAGATGCAAGGTTTTCTTACTAAAGCTGTTTAGATATATGCCTTTCATTATAGGTATTGTAATGTTCACTACTAAATGCGTATATTTAGATGAAGCAATATTGTTGATTATCATCTAAATCAGTTTCAAACCCTAATTATGTTTCACCGCATTAGTAAAAAAAACTAAAATTATAAACACACAAATAGTAACTGAAAATATTATCAGAAACTGTTAACAGTGTTTGCTGTTATAATGTTTAAAATTATGGTCATCTACAATATTATACACATAATGGTGTGCAACATATTACAAATATGTATCAAACATTACAATATCAGTATCAAACATTACATGCAGATCTTGAAAACTTTCTTCATCTCTACAGTCATGTATGGTGAAGTCGGTAGAGCGGGTATGGGTATTATCAAACATGCGTGTATTGCCGAACACAATTTTCTTTTCACCATAACCTTCTTAATATTCCTCTAATAAGCCAGTGACATAATTGATGTCACTTCCTTTCCCGACATATCTGTTATATTTCCATCGTGATCCTTGACGAAGCAAAGATTTTCAAGACTAAAATAACACGACGCTTGACTGTCAAAGTATGTACTCTGTAACAAATATTCTAATTTTAGATACCTGAAGTAATAAGGTTATATGGTCACATGATTTCGATAAATCACATGTTTTTTGTTAGAAGTGAAACTATTACATATACTGTGATATGGGACATATAACTCCATAATATGTCACTTAGATATTCACTTAGATATTCATTTACTGAGTTATTTGCATGTCATGCGTGAATTACTGAACACAGTTCTTACATTATGATTAAAACAACACAGTTATTTTATAAATTTATCTAAAAACAATTATAGTAGTAAAATAGATTAGATTTTATACATCTAAATAAAAAAAAAATAAATAAAATAATAATTATTAAATAAATGAAATAATTTATCAATTATTAATCAATTGATTAAAATTAACATGTATGTGTATTTCTGTTAAGACTGTGTCCAGGTCTGTGTATTTCTATTCATTTCCTTTAAGACTGTCCATGTTTGTCCATTTCTGTTAAGTCTGTCCATGTATGTGTATTTCTGTTAAGTCTGTCAATGTATGTGTATTTCTGTTAAGTCTGTCAATGTATGTGTATTTCTGTCAAGTCTGTCAATGTATGTGTATTTCTGTTAAGTCTGTCAATGTATGTGTATTTCTGTTAAGTATGTGTATTTCTGTTAAGACTGTCCAGGTCTGTGTATTTCTATTCATTTCCTTTAAGTCTGTCCATGTATGTCCATTTCTGTTAAGTCTGTCAATGTATGTGTATTTCTGTTAAGTCTGTCAATGTATGTGTATTTCTGTTAAGTATGTCAATGTATGTGTATTTCTGTTAAGTCTGTCAATGTATGTGTATTTCTGTTAAGTCTGTCAATGTATGTGTATTTCTGTTAAGTCTGTCAATGTATGTGTATTTCTGTTAATTGATTCATTCATTCTTTCATTCAACCAATCATTTTACAAATAGATAGAAAGATAAATAAATAAATGAATAAGTAGATAAATAAATAAATAAATAGCTCTAGTAAGTACAAGTACAGAAGTATAGCTGGAATTCCTTTTGAGTACAAATATTGTTAAGATCTTATGGTCGGCTGTTATTGATCTTTAAATCTTTTAATATTTACACATTTGAACATGTAATAAATTGTTCAATAGTGAATACTTAAGAAATATATATTTCTTGCACAATAATGAAATGATATTGTTATAAATCGATCTATATTTCAAGTGAAGATTTACATTTTTTTAAAAGTTGGCAGTGTTCGGAAATACACACATGTGTGTTTGGTATAACACACATATGGTCGGTAATAGAAGTAGGTCTAATATATGAAATGTCATAACTATTTATATAATGTGCGTAGATATGTGTTTCTTGCATGTAAATGTTAAAGAAAACTCATTTTCATCAAATGTCAATTGAAAATCGTGTGTACTTTTTAGCTCGACTATTCTATAAGAATAAGTAGAGCTATTGCAGTCACCCGAGCGTCGGCGTCGGCGTAACCACTTATGTTAAAGTTTTTGTAATAGTTCAAATATTTTCAAAGTCCATTGACATATGGCTTTGAAACTTTGCACACTTGTTCACCATCATGACCCCAACCTGTAGACAGGAGGAGGTAACTGTATCAAGCATTTTGACAGAATTATGCCCCTTTTTCGACTTAGAATTTACGTTAAAGTTTTTGTAATAGTTCAAATATTTTCAAAGTCCATTGACATATGGCTTTGAAACTTTGCACACTTGTTCACCATCATGACCCCAACCTGTAGACATGAGGAGGTAACTCTATCAAGTATTTTGACAGAATTATGCCCCTTTTTCGACTTAGAATTTATGTTAAAGTTTTTGTAATAGTTCAAATATTTTCAAAGTCCATTGACATATGGCTTTTGAAACTTTTGCACACTTGTTCACCATCATGACCCCAACCTGTAGACAGGAGGAGGTAACTCTATCAAGCATTTTGACAGAATTATGCCCCTTTTTTCGACTTAGAATTTACGTTAAAGTTTTTGTAATAGTTCAAATATTTTCAAAGTCCATAGACATATGGCTTTGAAACTTTGCACCTTGTTCAACATCATGACCCCAACCTGTAAACAGCAGGAGGTAACTCTATTAAGCATTTTGACAGAATTATGCCCCTTTTTCGACTTAGAATTTACGTTAAAGTTTTTGTAATAGTTCAAATATTTTCAAAGTCCATTGACATATGGCTTTGAAACTTTGCACACTTGTTCACCATCATGACCCCAACAGGAGGAGGTAACTGTATCAAGCATTTTGACAGAATTATGCCCCCTTTTTCGACTTAGAATTTACGTTAAAGTTTTTGTAATAGTTCAAATATTTTCAAGCCATTGACATATGGCTTTGAAAAACTTTGCACATTGTTCACCATCATGACCCCAACCTTAGACAGGAGGAGGTTTATCAAGATTTACAGAATTATGCCCCCTTTTTCGACTTAGAATTTACGTTTTTTTTTGTAATAGTTCAAATATTTTCAAAGTCCATAGACATATGGCTTTGAAACTTTGCACACTTGTTCAACATCATGACCCCAACCTGTAAACAGGCAGGAGGTAACTCTATTTAAGCATTTTGACAGAATTATGCCCCTTTTTTGACTTAGAATTTACGTTAAAGTTTTTGTAATAGTTCAAATATTTTCAAAGTCCATTGACATATGGCTTTGAAACTTTGCACACTTGTTCAACATCATGACCCCAACCTGTAAACAGGAGGAGGTAACTCTATCAAGCATTTTGACAGAATTCTGCCCCTTTTTCGACTTAGAATTTACGTTAAAGTTTTTGTAATAGTTCAAATATTTTCAAAGTCCATTGACATATGGCTTTGAAACTTTGCACACTTGTTCACCATCATGACCCCAACCTGTAAACAGGAGGAGGTAACTGTATCAGGCATTTTTTTTACTATCAAGCACTAAGAATAGTCGAGCATGCTGTCCTACCGACAGCTCTTGTTGTATCACAGAATGCTACTTATTTCACCTTAAGTGTTCGGTATTATCCACAACCGCTCTATTA